TTTAAATATTATTTTTTTTTTTTTTTTTTTTTTTTTTGTTTTTTTTTGGGGGGGGGGGGGGGGGGGGGGGGAGGAGAGAGAGAGAGAGAGAGAGGATACTCTCAAAAGAAAACTTCTCTCCCCCGTTTCTTTTCACGTCACGTGACGGGGAGGCCATTTCCGCAGCGATCATCTCCCTAGCTCTGCCCTAAGCCTCCGTTCGGGAAAATGGTGTTGAGAGGAGAGAGAGATAGTGACGGTAGAATCGGGTGGAGGGCTTGGTGTGGAGAGGAGAAGATAAGCCAAGGAGTGGGTCTAATTTTCTGAAATTACAAGAAGACACACATACAATCAGAAGACTAGGGTCCGAATTCTTGTGACATGACATCTCACAGACACCCGAAGTTATTTTCAGACCATGATAATGCAGTCTATAATCAACTAACGGGTACATCAATAACAAATTGATCAGTAACCAACAGCTAGCACACATTTAAAGACATCGAGAGATAGACTTGATGCATGCACTGTTTGATTTTATACGATCAAGGCTGTAAAATGTTTTAGTATAGTGCACAGAGTGCATCAATGACAACAAATGACATTAGAGGCTTGAAATCAAATGACGTTGCAGACAGACTTTTAATGACATTGGAGACTGGCGATAAACATCACGGTTTCTCTGTGTCAGACACATCCTAACCAAACAGACTGACACGATAAACATCATGGTTTCTCTGTGTCAGACACATCCTAACCAAACAGACTGACACGATAAACATCATGTTTTCTCTGTGTCAGACACATCCTAACCAAACAGACTGACACGATAAACATCATGTTTTCTCTGTGTCAGACACATCCTACCAAACAGACTGACACGGCCATTGTGTCCTGTGGCTCCCCCCCCACCTCCTCCCATCCCGAGAGTCAGACCGCGTTATTGTCAGCTGCCCACTCGCACATACATTCCTGGTCGTCCCCAGCCGTGTCCAAGCCAGGAATTAAACCCCATTTAACGGAAAATAATTGTTGTTTACGCCCTGAGGAATGTCTTCAAATCACTCCGTCGGCACCCCCCCACCCACCGAAGCCCTAATAAATGACCGATTGCACCTAAACACCTTTACACCCCTCACCTAAAACCCCTTTACACCCCTCACCTAAAACCCCTTTACACTCCTCACCTAAAACCCCTTTACACCCCTCACCTAAAACCGCTTTACACCCCTCACCTAAAACCCCTTTACACCCCTCACCTAAAACCCCTTTACACCCCTCACCTAAAACCCCTTTACACCCCTCACCTAAAACCCTTTTACACCCCTCACCTAAAAACCCTTTACACCCCTCACCTAAAACCCCTTTACACCCCTCACCTAAAACCCCTTTCCACCCCTCACCTAAAACCCCACCTCATCTACAACCCCTTTACACCCCTCACCTAAAACCCCTTTACACCCCTCACCTAAAACCCCTTTACACCCCTCACCTAAAACCCATTTACACCCCTCACCTAAAACGCCTTTTCACCCCTCACCTAAAACCCCTTTACACCCCTCACCTAAAACCCCTTTACACCCCTCACCCAGCCCTTACTCTCGAATCCCCTGACTCGCCATCCAGGCGTAATTTTCTCCGTGGCTGGCTATAGGGACGTCGCTTACCTTCCCGTGGTATCGCGCGGACACGTGCAGGCGGTGGCGAGACGAGACATGACGCGGCGGGCGGTGTGAGCAGTTGGCGACGGTCGCGGGCCGGAGGATGTCTTCAAGCATTCCGCCTTAGACACGACGGCTCGCCATGCCTTTGGGATACGACAGTTCACCCGTGATTTAGGAACAAGTCCGCTCTCCGTGCGTTAGGAATGCGTCACTTCACCATGCTCATTTCACCGGCACGCGAGGATACGTGACGTCACGCCGCTTAGAGCGAGGTGCGTAAGTTAACACATTGTGGCACGTGACTTTAGAAAGATGTGTGATATCAAAAATACGTGCACATTTTCTCGCTTAGAGCGTTTGACCCTAGCGTGCCGTCTTCAAATAATAAGTCCTGCCGGGCTGTATCAACTGCACAGTACATGGCATTCAAATGTACTAGTAGATTAAGCTTGTTACACAATAGTGTCATCAGATCTACGCCGACGGGTGTAACCCAAACGGTAATAACACAGTTATTTTTATTTAATTATTTTTTTTGTTGAGCAGACTGAGTTTTTTGGGTTTGTTTCTTGGCCGACGCATGGTTGGTAGTGTTTAGGACTACGGTGTTAGAAGGATTTCTTCACCCAGTGAGGACAGCAATGTCATTGGCGTACTTGTTTCACGTAGATTATAACTATTACGACCTCTATCTTCATCTTTACTATTATTTATGTCATTTTTGAGGCAAAGAAGCGCCCTGGTTATGTAATAATGATACAAATATCAAGGCGACGTCCAATTAAGACTTTCAGACTGCTTATGTCAAAGATTGATATCATTGTTATGTCAAAGAGTGAAGTCATTGTTATGTCAAAGCGTGAGGCAATTGTTATGTCAAAGAGTGAAGTCATTGTTATGTCAAAGAGTGAAGTCATTGCTATGTCAAAGAGTGAAGTCATTGCTATGTCAAAGAGTGAAGTCATTGCTATGTCAAAGAGTGAAGTCATTGTTATGCTAAAGAGTGAAATCATTATTAGGTCAAAGAGTGAAGTCATTGTTAGGTCAAAGAGTGAAATCATTGTTAGGTCAAAGAGTGAAATTATTGTTATGTCGAAGAGTGAAATCATTGTTATAACAATGAGTGAAAATCATTGTTAGGTCAAAGAGTGAAATCATTCAAAGACTGAAATCATTGTGATGTCAAAGAGTGAAATCATTGTGATTTCAAAGTGTGAAATCATTGTGATGTCAAAGTGTAAATCATTGTGAGGTCAAAGAGTGAAATCATTGTGATGTCAAAGAGTGAAATCATTGTTAGGTCAAAGAGTGAAATCATTGTTAGGTCAAAGAGTGAAATCATTGTTAGGTCAAAGAGTGAAGTCATTGTTAGGTCAATGAGTGAAGTCATTGTTAGGTCAATGAGTGAAGTCATTATTAGGTCAAAGAGTGAAATTATTATTATGTCCAAGAGTGAAATAATTGTTAGGTCAATGAGTGAAATTATTATTATGTCAAAGAGTGAAATCCTTGTTATATCAATGAGTGAAGTCATTGTTAGGTCAATGAGTGAAATCATTGATATGTCAAAGATTAATATCATTGTCATGTCAAAGATTAATATCATTGTTATGTCAAATAGTGAAATCATTATTATGTCAAAGACTGAAATCATTGTTATGTCAACGAGTGAAATCATTGTTATGTCAAAGATTAATATCATTGTCATGTCAAAGATTAATATCATTGTAAAAGTAAAAGCATTGTTATGTCAAGGACTGAAATCATTGTGATGTCAAGGACTGAAATCATTGTTAGGTCAAAGACTGAAATCATTTGTTAAACATATCTTCCAGGCTGCATTGTTGAATACAATGACATACTTTTGTAAAAACAATCAACATATGAGTTATACTTCCTACATGAGGATAACAGTAAGGTGTTCATTGACGTACGGCCTGTTGCCTTTTGGTTGTAATCCAAGATCTGGCGTGGCGCCCAGATGCCTCTTTCAATAAGGTGGACTGTTCAAAGGGCACACAGCAGCGCCTGTGGCGTTAAGCGGGACTTGAATCATCACGGATAAAGTTCATTGGGCACAACACGTTTACTACACGAAAATTATGATACAAGGTTACTACATGAACTACATTTTGTATTCTCAAAGCAAATGATCGAACAACTTTAGTGGCGGCATTCAAAGACACGACGCGACCTTTCATATAGGGCAATTGTACTACATTCGAAATAAGGCAATTGTACTACATTCGATATAAGGCAATTGTACTACATTCGATATAAGGCAATTGTACTACATTCGATATAAGACAATTGTACTACATTCGATATAAGGCAATTGTACTACATTCGATATAAGGCAATTGTACTACATTCTATATAAGGCAATTGTATTACATTCGATATAAGGCAATTGTACTACATTCGATATAAGGCAATTGTACTACATTCGATATAAGGCAATTGTACTACATTCGATATAAGGCAATTGTACTACATTCGATATAAGGCAATTTGTACTACATTCGATATAAGGCAATTGTACTACATTCGATATAAGGCAATGTACTACATTTCATGTCAGGCAATTGTACTACATTTCATGTCAGGCAATTGTCCTACATTTGATATAAGGCAATTGTAGTACATTTGATATAATGCAATTATACTACATTTGATATGAGGAAATTGTACTACTTTTGATTGAAGGCAATTGTGCTACATTTCATATAAGGCAATCGTACTACGTTGATATAAGGCAATTGTACTGCATTTTGTTTAAGGCAATTGTACTACGTTTCTTAAGGCAATTATACCACGTTTCATAAGGCATTTGTGCTACATTTCATATAAGGCAATTGTACTACGTTTCATATAAGGCAATTGTACTGCATTTGGTTTAAGGCAATCCTACTACGTTTCATATAAGGCAATTGTACTGCATTTGGTTTAAGGCAATTGTACTACGTTTCTTAAGGCAATTATACCACGTTTCATAAGGCATTTGTGCTACATTTCATATAAGGCAATTGTACTACGTTTCATATAAGGCAATTGTACTACGTTTCATATAAGGCAATTGTACTACGTTTCATATAAGGCAATTGTACTACGTTTCATATAAGGCAATTGTACTGCATTTGGTTTAAGGCAATTGTACTACGTTTCTTAAGGCAATTATACTACGTTTCTTAAGGCAATTATACCACGTTTCATAAGGCATTTGTGCTACATTTCATATAAGGCAATTGTACTACATTTGGTTTAAGGCAATTGTACTACGTTTCATATCAGGCAATTGTACTGCATTTGGTTTAAGGCAATTGTTGTTGTTGTTCGTCCGTCGAAGTCGACAAGGACCATCGAATCATCCGGTTAGGGGCGGGCGGGGGGGGGGGGGTTGGGATTATGGTGAGCTCTTATGTGGCTTGTTAGACCGATCCTTGCTCGGAATAATCTATGACACCGTGGGCATGGAATAGTTGCTTCAGGCGATGACCTAATGTTGCTCTTTCGGACAAGCCTGCGTGCCTCAGCTGTGGTTATTCTCTTAGCTCCTTGGGATTTAGCACCCTTCTTGACAGCAGCTCTCCATCTGGCAATTGTACTACGTTTCTTAAGGCAATTATTCCACGTTTCATAAGGCATTTGTACTACATTTCATATAAGGCAATTGTACTAAATTTCATATAAGGCAATTGTACTACGTTTCATATAAGGCAATTGTACTACGTTTCATATAAAGTAATTGTACTATCTGCCATATAAGACAATGATACGACCTTCCATATAAGGCAATGATACTACTTTCCATATAAAGCAATGATACTATCTTCCATATAAAGCAATGATATTATCTTCCATATCAGGCAATGGACACAATTGTCCGACAATAAATAGTATCAATTTCATCCAAATTATATACGATAGTCGTCGAATTGTATATGGCATTGGAACATTATATACGATAGTCGTCGAATTGTATATGGCATTGGAACATTATATACGATAGTCGTCGAATTGTATATGGCATTGGAACATTATATACGATAGTCGTCGAATTGTATATGGCATTGGGACATTATATACGACATACAATTGATATTTAATTATATGCGGCAGTCCATTTATGAAATTCCTTAAACTATATTTGACAATCCATAATTTGCGAAATTCAATAAATTGTATGTAACAGTCTGTAAATTAAATGAGTCATTTAATAAATTATAGTCGACACTAAATGAATCGTACGCGACATTTATTATAAGGATCTCATTGTCTATAAATTAAATGCAACATTTAATACATTGTGACATTCCATTTTAGTTATAGATTCTGCCCCAGTTTGCTTGAATAATCTTGACATTTCTTCTTTTCAGCTACTATGATACCAGACGTCCATCGTTCATCGTTGTTGGATGCCCACGCGATTTGTGCACACCTGGACTCCAGTGACCTGGCTCGCTCTGGTTACAAATGATATAAGTTCCCTGTGGCGGGGAAAGATTAGCACCCTCGCAAACAGGGCTCGCCATTTTGATGCTGTGTCTCCTCTTGACGAGAGGGGGTCGGTCATTTTGTTAAGCTTGTATAGCTGGCCTCGCGCCATCTGGTACCAACATAAATATCTGCTGAAGCGGTACTGAGGTGGGTAAGAGCCGGTAGATGACAACAAAAAGCAATAACAGACTTTACACATGTCGTGGGATTTGATCCAGCGTCCCTGTGTTATTGGTGGCAACACCTTGTTATCTGGTGGATCTGGTTAACTCGGTTCAGGACAAGCTATGTCCACACAACAAGGTCGGGTCTAAGATGGCCCCGTGCGACGACAACAATGAGATCACACGGGAACTTCAGTTCGGTTGTTTGGTTTTAATCCTTTCGGTTACTAAGCCTCTGTAATTAAATGTGGAGTTATCAAAATAAGAAATTAATCTTAATATTTCGTTACAGGATTTAAACAGCGCTGCTGATCTATAGGTTTGTGTTAGGTAATGTACTAGGCAGAATTCAACAAGTAGGTTTCAGGTAGTATTGGGATAACACTTGTTATAGAATGCTAACAATGTCCTTGTTTTATTTTTCTTGGAATGATACCAACACGACGTCACTTCTATAAGTGAGCTGCGACGTCACTCGTGCTAGCGATCCCTGACCTGAACAATGGATCACGTCAACAGTAACTACGTCCCGAACGCGACCCACGACGGCGTGACCAAAGGTCGTGGCGTGACCGGACACGACCTGGAAGCGTACACGGTCGTGCTGTCCGTGGCCGCCCACCTGCTGTCCATGCTGTTCGGTGGGGGCAGCAGCGTGACCGTGATCATCGCCATCACCACGCGGCGCAACATCAACAAGTACAGCTACACGCTGGTGCTGACGCTCTTCCTCGCCTGCTGCTGCCTCAACTTTGTCTGGAGCCCGCTCGAGATCGCCGACCTCATCATGTACCACTACGTTCACCGGCATCCGTGCGGCGGCTTCCTGGCCGTCAAGACGGCCGCGTACATCTTTCTCGTCTTGGTCCTCGGCCTGGTCATCGTGCTCCTGTCCGCCGAGGGCATAGTCAGGATGAAGAACAAATACGGTCGGGTGCTGCGGAAGCTGTGGCCGTTGTTAACGTGCGTCTTCGTCCTTTTCCTCTCCGCGTTTCTCACGGCGGTGTTCGCCACCATGTGCTCGCGGCACGTCGGTGGATTGGAGGCGTCCTACGTGCTGGAGGACGGCGACGCGAGGTCGACCTTCCTGGCCCTGGTCACGTTCGCGTTTGGCGCCACACTGCTCACCCTCGCCGCGCTTGGCCTGGTGCTCCTCAAGGAGATGGTCTACTGGGAGGACGGGCGACCACACTTCCGACAGAAGAACATGAAACTGACCATTCCGGAATTCCTCATCAGCCAGTCAAATGCGTGTGCTGATAACGACGGCGGGTTCGAGCCCAGTCAGAGCGGGACGCCCTCGCCGTCCACGCCCAAGCTGTTGATGGTCAGTGACCCGGACACGGCCTCCATTAAGGGCGAGGACGCCAACACGATATCGGAGCTACCCAGTCCAATCATCAAGCCCATGGGCAACCGACTGGGCATCAACATGGCACAGGTAGGAGATTACTACCTGATTATCTGTTTATTAATAGTTGCGTTCAATCTGGGAAAAGTATTTCTTCAAAACGTAATGATAGGAATGCGTTATGTTAATATGAGGCAAATCATTTTTATTGAATTATTTTTCTACAAAGGTTTCTCCGCCAATTTTGAACTCTGCACCCCTGCGAATTGTTTGACTAAGTATTGCACCCCATAAGAATTGTTTGACAAAGTATCGCATTCCATAAGAATTATTTGACTAAGTATCGAACCCCATAAGAATTGTTGGACAAAGTATCGCACCCCATAAGAATTGTTTGACTAAGTATCGCACCCCATAAGAATTGTTTGACTAAGTATCGCACCCCAAAGAATTGTTTGACTAAGTATCGCACACCATAAGAATTGTTTGACTAAGTATCGCAAACCAAAGAATTGTTTGACTAAGTATCGCACCCCATAAGAATTGTTGGACAAAGTATCGCACCCCATAAGAATTGTTTGACTAAGTATCGCACCCCATAAGAATTGTTTGACTAAGTATCGCACCCCATAAGAATAGTTTGACAAAGTATCGCACCCCAAAAAAGAATTGTTTGACGAAGTATCGCACCCCATAAGGATTGTTTGACAAAGTATCGCACCCCATAAGAATTGTTTGACTAAGTATCGCACCCCATAAGAATTGTTTGACTAAGTATCGCACCCCATAAGAATAGTTTGACTAAGTATCGCACCCCAAAGAATAGTTTGACTAAGTATCGCACCCCAAAGAATTGTTTGACTAAGTATCGCACCCCATAAGAATAGTTTGACTAAGTATCGCAGCCCATAAGAATAGTTTGACTAAGTATCGCACCAACGAACGAATCGTTTGACTAAGTATCGCACCCCATAAGAATAGTTTGACTTAGTATCGCACCCCATCAGAATTGTTTGACTAAGTATCGCACCCCATAAGAATTGTTTGACTAAGTATCGCACCCCATAAGAATTGTTTGACTAAGTATCGCACCCCAAAGAATTGTTTGACTAAGTATCGCACCCGATAAGAATTGTTTGACTAAGTATTGCACCCCATAAGAATAGTTTGACTAAGTATCGCAGCCCATAAGAATAGTTTGACTAAGTATCGCACCAACGAACGAATCGTTTGACTAAGTATCGCACCCCATAATAATAGTTTGACTAAGTATCGCAGCCCATAAGAATAGTTTGACTAAGTATCGCACCAACTAACGAATCGTTTGACTAAGTTTCGCACCCCATAAGAATAGTTTGACTAAGTATCGGAGCCCATAAGAATAGTTTGACTAAGTATCGCACCAACGAACAAATCGTTTGACTAAGTTTCGCACACCAAATCAAAATTATTTTTTTTAAAGGTCGGTTGAATATCAATATATTTTATCTTAATAAAATGAGAGCAATAGGGCTTACAAAATAAAAGTTTCCTTTACAACATATAGGACAGAGTGTTTGGAGCCCGTAGCCAGAGCGTTTGGAGCCCGTAGCTAGAGTGTTTGGAGCCCGTAGCCAGAGTGTTTGGTGTTTGGAGCCCGTAGCCAAAGTGTTTGGAGCCCGTAGCTAGAGTGTTTGGAGCCCGTAGCAAGAGTGTTTGGAGCCCGTAGCTAGAGTGTTTGGAGTATTGAATTGTGTGCATCCACTAGACTGGCGCCCGGGGAAATATGCCCCCCATATGCCCCCCCCCCCGCTGCCCACCCTTACCTACGACTCTGGAAACACTTGGTCAAAACGTGACGCTATATTTCAACCATAAAACGAATGGCCTTTTGAAATATCTAGTTCCGTCCTATTATTGGCCAGCGGTTGCTGCAATCTTACCGTCAGTCTGCTCTATGGTCGCCAGTTTAGTGACTCGGCTGTTGGGGAGAGGGGGGGGGTGTCCAGAGGCCTTAATGCAGATACGATTAAGTAGTGGGCTGTGGTGGGAGTACACAGCTGGCCCGGGGTTCATTAATAAGCTTTCTGAGTCACCCACCTAAGTTAGCCACCAAAGCCAACCGTTTTTCAGGGAAGAGGGGGGAGAGTATGTCAGACATTGAGCCAAATGTCAGACATATAGCCACATGTTAGACATAGAGCCAAATGTCAGACATAGAGCCAAAAGGCTTAAGGGCCGAGAGCGGTTGTTAACATTTTCATGGACCCAATCAAGATGCGTCAGTTCGAAATAAAATTAAGGCTTAAAAAAAAAAAAAAAAAATAAAATTAAACACTCTTGTATTGTATTATTTATGGGGCTCAATCTCCCCCCCCCCCTTTTTTTATTTTTTCACTCGGCCAGTCTGGTCAAATGTATGGGTAAATTGAAATAAATAATATTTAAAAATGTCATTGTCAAAGTCCAAGGATATAACCAACATAACAGGTAAAGAATCGTCGTTCTTAAGGTTTCATGTGTGGTCAAGCATTTGTAAACTTAACACCCCGTGTTAGCCAAATCTTACCCTACTGTCATGCAAGTGATACGATCGAAATGCTTGTAAAGGAACGATATGTAGAGCTAAACTGGAGGTACTTTATGTAGAGCTAAACTGAGGGTACTTTATGTAGAACTAAACTGAAGGTACTTTATGTGTAGCTAAACTGAATGTGCTTTTGGTAGAGCTAAACTGAATATACTTTATGTAGAGGTCAACAGAATGTACTTTATGTAGAGCTAAACTGAGGGTACTTTATGTAGAGTTCAACTGAGGGCAATTTATGTAGAGTTAAACTGAAGGTACTTTATGTAGAGCTAAACTGAAGGTACTTAGAGCTAAGCTGAATATACTTTATGTAGAGGTTAACAGAAGGTACTTTATGTAGAGATCAACAGAAGGTACTTTATGTAGAGCTAAACTGAAGGTACTTAGAGCTAAGCTGAATATACTTTATGTAGATGTCAAAAGAAGGTACTCTATGTTTCTGTAGAGCTAAACTGCGGTGATTGAGCCATGTCATATGAGCATAAACTAAAAGTTGCTGTGGCCCTGCCTGACACAGATTTCATATTTTCCAACAGGTTCTAGGCCGCCGCCGCCACACCATCTGTCAGATCAGCGACTCCAGCAACGTGTCCACGCCGGCTGACCCCATCTCCAAGGCCAAGCAATACAACTACGTCAGAAAGTTCTCGGTAGATATCTCAGCGCTGCAGGCGCAACTGCAAAACCCCAAAATCTTCAAGGACGCTCCATTCCAATCAGACATTGACCTCACCAAAAGGTCGCCAGCGGAAGGATCTAAACCCGCTGCCCCGAGGCCCCTGTTGCCGCTAAAGCCACTGTCGTTGAAATTTGACGAAAAAGAGGAGAGGGTTAAGACGGCGGAGGATGAGAAACACACGAAGGAGCCCGGCAGGGCAGGCCTCAACATTCCACCACCTCCGATGATCACGGTGTCCAACGAAGACACCCAGTCCAACCACTTAGACATGGACATGCCCAGTGATGTCCACGGTTCGGATATTCCAAATGATATCCATGGATCCGATAAAACAAATGATACCGATGTCACGGATATCCAGATTGATATCCACGGCTCAAGAGAATCATTCCACCAGCAGACTAAGCTGAATTCACGCGCCAACAGCGTGGCCCAGAAACCCACGTCGCTGGCGTTTAAGGACACCACTTCGACAGAAGAGCACGTCTCCGTGCCGACACTGGAGAGCGCCCAGAGCGATCCCAGTGACACGGAGTCCGAGGGCCAGAAAATGGCGCGGCTGACTCTCCTCATGTGCTTAACTTTTGTCCTCAACATGCTGCCCGTGTTTATTACGGAGGCGCTGCAAACCACGCTGAGCCGGCACGCTTTCATCAACATCTCCACCTGCACCCTGGCCGTCTCGGCCATCCAGACCATCGTGTACCCGCACCTGATCGCGTGCAGCGACGACGTGGTGCACAGGGCCGTGCACAAGTTGAAGCTCCGACTGAGGAACGTGTGCTCGTGTGGTACGGACCGCCAGTCGCACTGCCAGGTGGAGGAGAGTTCGAGCACGAGCCAGGTGTAGGGTACGGGGATACTCCGGGACGATAAGGTCATGAGAGGGACATTCCACTGCAAGGTGGCTGCCGTGGGGAGAAATTCAACTCTACCCAAAACAACGTTCGAGGGTAAGCGTATTTGGTATTGCAAGCGGGTTTCAGTGGCGGAACTTTCAACAACAAGAATGTGGCTATGTACACCTATCAGGAGTGGGAGGGTCACGAGAAAGAGAAGATTTTGTTTGGAGATAAAGCCCCGAATTCGGTGTAGTACCTACAAGCGTCAACAAGTTTCTTCACACACCTGGATTCTCAAGTGATTTGGGTGTAGTGCCTAAAGGTGTTAACAAGTTTACTCACACACCTGGATTCTCACGTGAGTTGGGTATAACACCTGAAGGTGTCAACACGTTTACTCGAGCAAGCTCACTCGTACACCTGGATTCTCCCTGAGTTGGGTGTAGTAACTTTAGGTGTCAATGTTATCAACGGTGCATGTGGATTTTCGCTAGTCCAGACTTAATTTTTCAATCTCGGACCATGAACAACATTGAACTATAACATCCCGTTTACAGACACAAACCTCTTCTCGCCACATTTAAAGGAAGAAAAAAAAAAAAAAGAAGAAACTAACATGAGATGTCATAGTTGGCCATGAGATGTCATAGTTGGCCATGAGATGTCATAGTTAGTCATGAGATTTTTGCTAGTCCAGATTTAATTTTTCCATCTCGGACCATGAAAAAAATTGACCTATAACATCCCGTTTACAGAAACAAACCCCTTCTCGCCACATTTAAAGGAAGAAAAAAAAAAAAAAAGAAGAAACTAACATGAGATGTCATAGTTGGCCATGAGATGTCATAGTTGGCCATGAGATGTCATAGTTAGTCATGAGATGTCATAGTTAGCCATGAGATGTCATAGTTAGCCATGAGATGTCATAGTTAGCCATGAGATGTCATAGTTAGCCATGAGATGTCATAGTTAGCCATGATATGTCATAGTTAGCCATGAGATGTCATAGTTAGCCATGAGATGTCATAGTTAGCCATGAGATGTCATAGTTAGCCATAAGATGTCATAGTTGGCCATGAGATGTCATAGTTGGCCATGAGATGTCATAGTTAGCCATGAGATGTCATAGTTAGCCATGAGATGTCAGATTTAGCGCACCTTCTGATATCTTCCGTGAAACAAGCGGCTTATTAATGTAAAGAATAACATTTTTATCCAAGGTTTATTTTTCTGACTAATGAGGTGTCAGTTCAACAGAAGGTGTCAGCTAAATAGAAGGAGTCAGTTCAACAGAAGGTGTCCGTAAATAACTTTCATACGTGGATACACAAATTTAAGACAATGATTTGGTCTTCTGCCCAGCAGTCCATGATTAATTACCTCACCATTGTACTTTACACTGGGCTGTCCTATTCATGGGCTGTTGTAGTCCCGGGCTGTTGTAGTCCCGGGCAGTCGTAGCCCAGGGCTGTCGTAGCCCAGGGCTGTCGTAGCCCAGGGCTGTCGTAGCCCAGGGCTGTCGTAGCCCAGGGCTGTCATAGTCACGGGCTGTCATAGTCACGGGATGTCATAGTACCGGGCTATCGTAGTCCCGGGCTATCGTAGTCCCGGGCTATCGTAGTCCCGGGCCATCGTAGTCCCGGGCTTTCGTAGTGCAGAGCTGTCATAATCCCATCCTGTTAAAGTCATCCTATATAATATCCCGAATACAACTTAAGTCTTTAACCAAAGGTCGTAAAACTTTAGGTCGTAAAAGTTTAGCACTTCTTAACAGTTGTTTCCCCCCCCCCCCCCAACACATAAAGGCCTGGTTTTTTTGCATTTGCGAAATGAAAAAAAAATCAATACAAGTAACTGGTATAACCTTTAAACAGATCAGTCACGTGACCTCTGGAGGACCCACCCACTCAGCTGTTCGGCTTTGTCCTTCTTGAATTGAATATAGATGGTTTAAATTGTATCCACATAACAACTTTGAGCCCCCTGAAATATGCGAGCCCCCCCCCCTTTCCCCCTTACAGCTGAAAGGGTTGCAGGGCCCATGCGACGGCTCTGCCCCTGAACGTGGCGTAGCTGAAGAGAAATACGGTCAGAACTGACTTTGGGCAGCAACTCTTTGCATCGGGTGGGTGAAGGCGAAATGAGTGGTGGGGACACGGTCACGACTGTTCGAGGAGTCACCCAGAAGACTCGCGCAATGGCGCAGCCTAGAACTGGCCATGACGTTGAACCACATGCCAGTCGTCGTCAACGCGTCTCTATCAACGCCCTACACTTGGTGCACCTTTGAATCAACAGTAACGCCGTCACGTCCGTCCCAGTGTTATGTCCGGTAATTTTCAGAGGAAACTTTAAAGCGGTGTCGGATTTGAAGGAAAAGAAAGGGAACGGGGTCGCAAGGACACACGGCCGACCATTCGCCGGGCGTTGCAAGGACACACGGCCGACCATTCGCCGGGGGTTGCAAGGACACACGGCCGACCATTCGCCGGGCGTTGCAAGGACACACGGCCGACCATTCGCCGGGGGTTGCAAGGACACACGGCCGGCCATTCGCCGGGCGTTGCAAGGACACACGGCCGACAATTCGCCGGGGGTTGCAAGGACACACGGCCGACCATTCGCCGGGGGTTGCAAGGACACACGGCCGACCATTCGCGGGGGTTGCAAGGACACACGGCCGACCATTCGCTGGTCACTTCTAAAGATGTATGCCACTTGTATGGGAGAGTGTCTCGGCAGTGCCGCTGAGTAAATCACTGTGGCCTGTGCATTTGACGGACCAGCGGTCGCCCCGCAACATTCATTCACAACGTTGTTTCACATTCCATGCGTGTTTCCAGTAAGTCCAGACTTATTCTAGACGACTCTGTCCAAAGGAATGGCGTCTCCCAGACGTACGGCCCGAGAAAACGAATCCCCATGAGGCAACTTTACAAACGCACATTTAGCAAGTAACTTAGTGAGTCATCGTGCGCAGTGGTCAACAGAGATTTGTGTCTGATAACTATCAACAAAAAACACGTAACAAACGATAGAAGGCGTAAAAGGGGGGGGGGGTGGTGGTGGTGATGAGGTCCATCATTCAGCAACCTGAGGATTTGTGGTCAAGGCACCCCAAACCTGTACATACGACATGTCCCGTAGTACTGCTCTCAAGACACTCCCCTTTAGTATGTGTGATTGTAGGTATGGATGTATAAGTATGTATTATTATATGAATAAACGCATGGCACTGTGCATATGTCATGTGTCTCAAGAGAGCGTGATCAAAAGGGATAGAGTGATCTATCATTTGTTTTAAATAAGTGACCCTCTGGCCAGGTTTTGTGTATTCTAAGCTCTTCACGTGTCAACATGGCTGAGTTTGAAGAGCCGGTCAACTGGATTTGATTCATCGGTGGCGCCAGCAATCCAATGATCAGTTGCCCAGACATTCCAGGAGTAAGCTGTGAACACTTGCTATCACTCCTCTCCAGCGACTGTTGGGTTACAACAGAAACGATCCTCTTTCTGATGCTCTTTCTGATGCTCTTTCTGATGCTCTTTCTGATGCTCTTTCTGATGCTCTTTCTGATGCTCTTTCTGATGCTCTTTCTGATGCTCTTTCTGATGCTCTTTCTGATCCTCTTTCTGATCCTCTTTCTGATGCTCTTTCTGATCCTCTTTCTGATGCTCTTTCTGATGCTCTTTCTGATCCTCTTTCTGATGCTCTTTCTGATCCTCTTTCTGATGCTCTTTCTGATGCTCTTTCTGATGCTCTTTCTGATGCTCTTTCTGATGCTCTTTCTGATGCTCTTTCTGATCCTCTTTCTGATCCTCTTTCTGATGCTCTTTCTGATGCTCTTTCTGATGCTTTTTCTGATGCTTTTTCTGATCCTCTTTCTGATCCTCTTTCTGATGCTCATTCTGATCCTCTTTCTGATGCTCTTTCTGATCCTCTTTCTGATGCTCTTTCTGATCCTCTTTCTGATGCTCTTTCTGATCCTCTTTCTGATGCTCTTTCTGATGCTCTTTCTGATGCTCTTTCTGATGCTCTTTCTGATGCTCTTTCTGATCCTCTTTTTGATGCTCTCTCTGATGCTCTTTTTGATGCTCTTTTTGATGCTCTTTTCTCCCAATGCACTGTAAAGCCCCCCGACAGAACAACGTGGATCCCGTATCGCTGGAGATAATGTCGGCCATTCAGTTTTGTTTTTATTGGTCTCGAAGCAAGGATGGTGCGCGTGGTGTGCCGTGACGCACACACACACACACAATGTCACGTGAATGGTGGAGCGTTAAAGATGTCATGTGAGAATGTGTGTGTGTGTGTGTGTCCCCGCACGTGTGAGTGTGTGTGCTGAGGCGCGGGGGGGGGGGGGGGGGGGGGGGGGGGGGGGGGGGGGGGGGGGGGGGGGGAGAAGGGTGACGTCAATTTGAAGGATGCTGTAATTTTGCACTAATCTTTGGTGACGGGGCAAATGCTGGACTGAACAAGAGATGTCACGCGAGAAGTGCAACAGTGCACAATAACACTGGACTGTTTAGTGGAACGGGGGTCTCCCGAACCCGATTACATTTTGTTGACACGTCGTACGCATGTGTGTTCGTGTTGGTGCGTCAGAGTGTGTCTCCTGGTATGTATTTGCGCACGTGTGTTCGTTTTGGTGCGTTCAGAGTGTGTCTCCTGGTATGTATTTGTGCATGTGTGTTCGTTTTGGTGCGTCAGAGTGTCTCCTGGTATGTATTTGTGCACGTCTGTTCGTGTTGGTGCGTCAGAGTGTGTCTCCTGGTATGTATTTGCGCACGTGTGTTCGTGTTGGTGCGTCAGAGTGTGTCTCCTGGTATGTATTTGCACACGTGTGTTCGTGTTGGTGCGTCAGAGTGTCTCCTGGTATGTATTTGCGCACGTGTGTTCGTGTTGGTGCGTCAGAGTGTGTCTCCTGGTATGTATTTGCGCACGTGTGTTCGTGTTGGTGCGTCAGAGTGTGTCTCCTGGTATGTATTTGTGCATGTGTGTTCGTTTTGGTGCGTTCAGAGTGTGTCTCCTGGTATGTATTTGCGCACGTGTGTTCGTGTTTGCATGCGTGTCTGAAAGAGTGAATAGCAAACGATTAAGTTAGCACGGTTTCTATTTTATTATATTCTTACAATGGCCACAATTATAGCGGTTCACGCCATGTGGTTATGTGCATCATAACTGTTATTTGTAAATGTCACATGCAATAAACAATAAAAAGAAAATTTAAAACAACTCGTATGTTTTGTTTCAACAGTGATCTTGATTTTGGTAACACACACGGCAACTTGTCTATAACAAATTCAATAGTCGCTGGTTTCTCCAACGTAAGGAAGTTGTGTAGCCAGGGGAACCTTAACATGTATGCCCAAGAGACAGAGTAATATGTACAAAGCCAGCGGCTAAGCAAAATGTACACACCCAAGTGGCAGAGAAAATGTACACACCCCCAGAAGTATGGCAAAATGTAGACACCCTCAGAAGTAGAGCCAAATGTAGACACTCTCAGAAGAAGAGCAACATGTAGACACCCTCAGAAGTAGAGCAACATGTAGACACCCTCAGAAGTAGATCAACATGTGGA